CGATGTTTAATGAACACTACAGCTATGACCTCTGGCTATGACGTTCTCATGCCCGGTTCTCGATTCTCGTTTAGCACTGTGCTTGTCTCCACTGTGCACTGCTGTGGGGTAGGACCCCTCGCCCTTCGCCCACGTACACACCGATCGGACAAAACACGAAAACGACGGCGCACCAATATTTTACTGATAAATTTTTTATAATTAACAAAATATAAAAATTTTACACGTTAAGTACATGTCCGAATCTGCTGATAAGTCACTCTTTTGTCAGTCTCTATCATACGCCGCATAACACTGATGTTATCTTCAGTCGTCGCCGTAGAAGGCCCTCCCTCACTTCGATCATCGGTGAGATTGACAGTTGTAAACAGTGGCACGAGATGGGGCTTCATCGTAAAAGGCCAATCGAAGTCTATCATAACTTTCTTGTTGACTTAAATGACATCGAAAGTCATAAAAAATCATTGTACAAAAATTTTCTCGCGTTAAATTCATGCTGACTTGACACAGACAATTTTCAATTTGCCGCTAAATCTTAAACAAATGACAAATTAATAAAATACATACACAATAATATTGGAAAAGAGTTCCATTTTCAAAATTTGAACAATTTTTCTTTATTATATCGTTTACAAGTGGCCTGTTCTAAATATTTTCAGTGTCACCCTCGTATATTTGTCAACACATTATTTATTTTATTAATAAGAATTTATCCTTTATAATAATTTGCTTAAAATTTTGCACCACTTTTACGTATCAACTTCAAGCCACTATTTAAACAATAATACTGGAGCAGCAATCTACCGGTAGCCAAGTTCCCACCAAAACTCATATCTATATCTATTTCTTAGCAATTCATTCATACACGTTAACTTGTGAAAAAAATTACGAGATTTTCCCGCAACTCTCCAGGATTTTTTTTTTCGAAATTTTGAAGGATAAATCACGTAAATAACTTTTTGATTCAGTTAAATAAATTAATGATAACTTTCTCATTTTTTGGGTATTATAGAAGTTGAATATTAGTTTGTTTTGATAATGGTCTTAAGTGGTCTTATCTGTACTCCAATAATAGATATACTTAATCATAAAATTAAAAAAATATCCATTATTAATTAACTCACAATTTTCCCGCCGTGCGGAGCCGAGGCGGATCGCTGGTACTTCATAAATATAATAGGTAATTTTAGTATTATTTTTATAACAATTCGTTAATAAGACAAAGGCAATAATTGACCATTTGCGTCTAAGATTGTATAGACATAAAGGAACAATGGTAAGTATATATACATTATCCATTACCATCCATTACAGTCTATAAAAGTCCACTGCTGAACATAGGCCTCCCCCATAGATTGTCTGATGGGGGAATTTTTGCATAGTTGCCACGCTTGGCAAGCGGGTTGGCAACCGCAGTTTTTATTATGTTGAGTTGATATCAGGAAGGTGCCCGCCTCCTGTATTATATTGTAATTATATACCACCGAAAAAAACACTAACTTTTCTCTCCATTTTTGGGTTAAAACGAAGTCTACGACATCCATTTACCCGAAAATCTTTTACCTATTTTCTTTATATCTTTATCTAGGAGACCGCGTTTATTAAGGATTAATGAAAATGCATAAAGAAAACAATATTTCTTAAAATACTTTTTTTTTTAATATAAATTAACATAAACCCAACACAAGACGTTCACTATTGTCTAATATTAATAACATAAAGGATAGAATATAAAGCCCTAATTTAGGGTACAAGTAATAGGAACCTCAGTCCTTTTAATACTCGAAAGCCATTCTGGTTTCTTGCATTAGGAAAATTCCTTGAAAACGGTTAAGTACCAAAGCAGACAGTAGACTACAAAACATTTAAAAAGGTAAATATTTCATCCGCTCAGCTGAACCACATACATAATTCTTATTTCAAAATCAACAAAACATCAATAAGTTAATAAGAAAAAGAAAACAATAACACACTTAATAAAATTTCTTGTAGGCAATTTCATAAAATAAAAATGTGTAATACTATATTGATTACTGTATTTACCTAAGATCCTTAATTGTTTCATGTTGTTCGAGTAAAACAATAATATATTAATCAAGCAAGAAATTAACGTAATTACTGGCATAAAGTTTTAAATAAATTATAAGTTGAAATACATGAACCACCCTAAAGAAATTATATTATTACATTAAAAACATCAAGGCACCAGACAGTTTCATACCCAAAAGTAATCTACGAGGAACTGAGGGTTCTAAAGAATAGAAAATTGGAATGTACAGTAACTACCTGTATAAGGTAAATGCTATTTGAGCCTTATCCGCAATGGAGAACATCTTGCGATATCTTTTTCACGTTAAGCCTAACTAAAAATTTTAAATAAATTTATTACTACATTACGTCAACCTATTTGATAATAAATAATACAATGTGATAGACTTACAGCGGCGTTACGTATTTTGCGGTATTTGCATAACAAATTTGTTCTTATGTAATAAATAACCCTTATCGTTTATCGAAAAATGTGCTCTAATGCGGACAAGGACGAGGAAAAAACAATTATAAATTATATTGAATTTTAAATATCGCTAATATTGTTCCCCAAGTTTTATTTTTTATTTTAAATATCGTTCATGATTTTTAGAAAATAGTAAGGTATTTTTATTTGGTTTTTATACGCGGTAGAGCCATGCTGCAGCTACATATATTAATAGTATAGGTGTAGCACGAATGGGTCGGCTCGACCGGCAAAGGACCACACTCTCACAAAATACCAGCGTAAAATAGTGTAGAGACCCGGAGACCCTTTTTACTGGAAACGAGGCATTCCATATTAGTCCTCACGAGAGACATCTGCATTTTGATTAGCAAACGTGGATAAATGTAGGTGTCTATGGGCCACAGTAACCACTTACCATCAGGTGGACTGTGTGCTCGTTTGTCACCCTTATACTATAAAAAAAAACGTATGATGGTGTGCGTAAAAGGAAGGCCTCGTGGAGAGCGTTTTGGCGGCGTCTTTTCTTTACAGCTTGAGCAGCCTCTACCCAGGACATTGCAGTACAACAGCGTGTTTATATCATGACGCTATGTTACACGTGCTCTCTTTTGAGTCCTAGCCTAAGTATAGCGCGTACGGCGAAATGACTATCGACTGCATCGGCCGTCCCTCAAGTCACTGTGATACAAGTTAGATGAACACTGAGCTGGTTCAAATATGCAGATCACATAAACTTGAGTCGCTCAGCAGTATTTTAATAAAAAATTACGACAGCTCACAGCTCACAAATTTTAACATCGCCCCACAGACTACATGCAATATAATTGAAATAAATTTTCTTTGAATCTCATTTTCTTAGATCGCTGTTTGTTTTTTTTTACCAGTTGAGCTCGACTTTATGAGATTAATAATTAGTTACTGAACTGTTTATTTGTTTTCACTAATAAAACATTGTGACCTACGATAACCGTATCACCGTGACGGGAACAAGTAAGTAAAATAAAAAAGAAATAGAAAGTACAGTTAAAAAAACAACTGTTTAAACCCTACGAACTGAGAAGTTAAGAGTGCGTAAACGCTAACTCGCTAAACCTAGGTACACAACGCCAGTCGCTACATGCCCTGTATTAACTTGAATTGAGATTGGTCTGGGAGCTGGTTTGCAGCTCCGGCTCAGATGTGAACCGTGAGCTAAACAGCAGCTTACGTATATTCATTGAGTTACACGTGTCTAATATAAGAGCGTTAACGCCTCTTCCTGCTGAAAGAGCGAACAGAGCGTACAATTGTAAATTTCCTACACTAAGCGTAAAAACTGATAATCGGTGTTTTGAGAAACTGATTTTTAGATTTTACGCTCTTGTGTTGCATTGTCCTGTGTTTCTGAGTGGTGGTTGCTAAAGATATACGTTATATTTGTATACATGTATATTAAACATCGGTCGTGATGCTACGCCACAAAATAATGACAGCAGGTCTTTTTATTTTGACTCGGGCCTTAAGATGATTATGCCGAAGGTCACGGCCAGGAATTGCAAATTTTAATATTTTTGTCTTCTACACAAAGATACACGAACTACAAATAATAATATACACCATACATTAAAGGACATTGCTATGTATAGGTTTTATATGATGTTACGATATGCTCACAGGAAATATTAAGTTAATTTCAAAATCTTTAACAAAGTTTACTAAAGATTACAAGGTAATATTATGGTACATATTTTGTATTTTCTGTATAATTGACTCCCCTACCGCGGTATCCTACTGTATCATCTAGTTATTGTACTTAATGGTTGTAAGTGGTAGTCTTAATATTGCAAAGTGCCTATTATAGTAAAAAGATTATGGTTAGTTAATTGCTTTTACAGTTGAGCAAATTATTGTTTGTGAATTGAATTCATCTGATAAGTCGATATTTAATAGGATATACTCGGTAAAAATGAAGATAAAAAAATAACTTTAACATCACACTGTGTCACGCATGTCGTCGTAGTTTCTGGGAAACTCTTTCGTGGATGATATTTTTTATCTTATAATAACAATAATATTTACATACAGATGCCAAATGTCAAACACCATAGACTATACAGTATTCATCAAACATTCATAAACAATTCACTTAATCCTTAACGAGTTCATACTATACATCATCACAGTCTTCTCACATTACTTACACCTACGAATGATTTTTATTGGAAATGAAGATAGTCATAATTTACGCGGTATTTACAAATATTCTAGTTAAAACCCGATAAATATATACAAAAGATTCATTAGGAGTATCGATAAACATATCAAAATGTCATGAATCTGCTCAAGTTTTAAGTATTTCAGTAAAAAAAAAACTACGTTTCACTTATGAGACTCAAATACATTCACAACACATATCAAGTCATTATAAGAAAATAACTTGCGTTGAGTTGTAAAAATAACGTGGATTGAAATCACAGAAAAACTGGTGTCACTTCACATTTGAACTGCTTAAACGGCAATGTTTCTAAACGACATGAGTGACTCGATATGTATGTTTCTCGTCAATAATTGTCTGCATGGTACGGTGTACGTTCTCAGGTAAATGATCTAATAACATTCGCGGCATCACTTGCAATTCCATGAAGTCCTCGGGACACGCCCATCTCATTTCGTACGTCGGCTCCTGTGTGCGCACTTTCCTAAAATAAAACAAATATTTAAATACTTAACACTGTTTACGTGTATTATTTATTTTTGAATTTTGAAAATTATTGATTACCTATCTTCGTCTGCTTCATTCCTTGATCAGACATGAAAGTTAATTCTTTTTTTAATTTATTTCTAAATATAGTATATATAAAGTAGTCCTTTATTTTATATATGTTTTCATGGTAGGTGGTGCTGGCCAGTTGTCAAAAGAATAGTTTATCTACCCTAGACACAAATTGCTTCACGATGTTTTCCTTTAACCGCCAGCAGGTCATCATTTATCATCATTACAGCCTATCAAAAATCCAAGGCCGAACATAGAATTTATCCACAGCGTCATAGGTGAAATATTTGCCACAGATGCCGCTCTTGGCTGGCGGGTCGGCAACAGAGTTTTTTTTTTTAATTAAAATAATGGTTTACATTCCAAACTTATCAAAATAGGTGTAATCCCTGAGGAAACATTTTTTTTTCTATCGCCAAATGAAACTTGGTCGTTTAGTGGGATTAGACAAGTTGATATTCTACAATCATTAACGCTAATAGAAAACTATGAAAGTAAACGATAAATAACATAAATGTAACGTGACTTAACGTTTTCATGTGTCATCCCTATTCATTTTTATAGTTTTGTTACTAGCGTCAATTCAGAAAGCAACTAGGCTCACTCCGCAGGTGCTTACTATAATAAAAGTAACTGTCAGAACTGGTATTTAAATGATATTATTTTCAATGTATCTTACTTTTCAATGCCCATGCGCTTTCGTCGCACGATATGTAGGATTCGGCCGGCTGTAAAAAGGCGCGCTGTTGAAAACCGCCGCGCGAACACATTCCGTGACACTAACGCTGCCTCCTAAAAACGTTATAATAAACATTATTCAAATGGACTTCATTTTCAGTGGAGAAGTTACTGATGATTTCCTATTTCTGACATAATGCAGCAGTGTACACGCTGATTGACAGTCAAAAGAGCTTGTATGTATGTAGGATTCTGAAAGCGACTGTTTATCATGCGGTCCTGGGTTGGAATCCTGCGTCGGGCGAAAATTATTAGTTATTGGGTTTTTCTGTTGAGAATTTTTCAGTAGTAGCCCGGAGTCAGTAGGTAGCGGTGTTTCACCCTCATGCCTCAGAAAGCACGTTAAGCCGTTGGTCCTGCGCCTGATCTCTCTCCGGTCATGTCAGATTACCATCCCATCGGACTATAAGAGTAAGGGAATAGAGAGTGCACCTGTTTGGGTGCTATACTCCTGTCCTGCGCAGGTCACCTGCGTTCTCCGTTGAGAGTAGCCGCCGTGACCGAAATTCGTGGAGCAAAGAGTATATAATCGCTAGAGTAGTAGGCGACAACATCAGTCATTTCATAAACAAACCCCCACAGATTGGCTCATAGGAGAAATACTTGCCATAGTTCCCGCGCTTGGCAAGCGGGTTAGGCACCGCAGCATTTTAAATTGCTATCAGGAAAATGCTGTTGCCCATCTCCTGTTTTATTTTCCTATGCCGTCTCTTACGACACTTACAACATAATAATAATATAGTGTTACGAACTTGGGGTTCGAGATAATTAAAAAATGCCAAGTGAATTACCAAAATTGACACTTTAATTACAGAACACTAATTACAATTTAAAACCACACTAATAACAAAACTCAATTGTACTACAGATCACTTTAGTTCGCAGTTGTAACGCTTCGAAGTATTCGCTTGTATCGCCAATTCAATACTGTTACTGCCTCGGTCGCGGCCTATACCGACCTTATATATAGGGCCTCAGCCTCAGGTAGTTTCCAGAACCTTCTACTGTAGACTCTTCTAAAATGTTTGAGTACATATCGGTCCCGATTGACTAGGTGTCGATAGTTCTAGAAAGTTCTTCCATGGAAATTTCTGGAATGTTCTTGACTCTCCTAGTTCTGCCACTCGATAGGAGAGGGCGCTAGTGGTAACTAGTGTTATTTGATTCTCTTACCACAGATTACTTAATAGTTTACGAAACTCTTACGCCGTCGTTAGGCTAAGCGTCCACTAGGCTCGTCGAGCCGATTCGAATCGAATCGCAGAAAGTCGCCTTCTATATATTTATTATGAAACTGCGTCCATTAGCGACGAGCCGCGGCGCGCCGAATTGAATCGACCGCGCGAATTGCTTGACAGGCGAATTTCTTCGCCGATGCGATTCGATTCAACTCTGCGCGCCTCAATCGACGCGGAGAAGTGGATGCGCGCCAGCGTATTTTAATTAATTTCTATTTCGTTTTCGTAAAAATATTTTTGTTTAAATAAAAATGAATGAAGAACTATTGATATCACTGTTCTAACAACATCCAGAATTGTTTAATCATGAAGACCCACATTATTACGATGAAATAAAAACATCTCTTCATCCGAGACGTCCATGACGCAAAAACGACCTATTTTGATGAAGCATTTGCGATGAATGAACAATTCGATTCGATTCGTCAGAGATGGACGCACTAGGAATAAATGCGACTCGCTTTGATTCGACGCATTTCTGCTGTAGTGGACGCCTAGCATTACACGGAAATGTGAGTAACTGATCTAAAAAAAGTATCGCTGGCTTTCTTGCTAGTTCTTCCCAGGACAAAGGGTTTTTCGAACCAGTAGAAAAGTTTAAATGACTTTCAAATATTATTTTTGTACCTAATCTATATTGAATAATAATGATTCTATTCTATTCCAAATCATTAAATTATAAATAAAATTGAATCAGGTATTGAACACTAACTAAATACATATCTACAAATTAATCAAAGCAGGTGAAAATGGAAGGTTATTATATTTTACATAAAAAAAATTATGTTGCTTTACTTGTTTAGGTACTTACCTGCCTTAGCTTAACACCAGATTATCGTTTTAATTAGGAACAAACTAAAATTTTAATGACAAGTTATTTGTTTGTACATATAGGAGTTGTTATGATCACTACTTTAAAATTGTATATAAAAAAACACCATTAATTTACTTCACTAAAATCAGCTGCCACAATAATAATTATAGGTATAATAGGAATAGGATAGAAGTCAAAACTATATTATTAAATGAACAAAGCCACATTTATCTTGTCGAAAATCAGAGTAAGTATTTTTATATTGTAAATAAAACATTTTTAACTTCAGTGCCGAGACAAAATTTATAGGTATAGGGTATAGGTCTAAAAAAGAGACGTTATAACAATGAGGGCTAATAATCTTCCGCTCACTAGATGTCGCTAGTTGACACTGAAGACTGAAGGGAAGTTTGTTGTTACACAGTGTCATTAGTTTTAAATAAAAGTTTATTAGTTTCTAGAGATAGATATTAATACACAAAACGATACCTCAGTGGCTTCCTCTTTAATTTTTTGCACATTTTTAACTCTTCCTAGTTTTTCTCCTTTTATAAATATATGCGTTTTTTTAATCTAATTAATATAAAATATAAATATAGTACGTATAATAGTTTTCCGAACAAATTAACTTCCCGGCTATGAAGTCTGTCAAATATAATTTTTAGGTGGCGTCGCCCTGGTAGCATAATAAGTCGTGGATGGCCTCATTAAAGTAATATTATATTATATAAGTATATAAAAGTAATACCTACTAACTGTGATAAAGTTAATTAAAAATTATTTTTTTTATAAATGATTTATATGACTAATTTAGAATGGCAGGACAGATTTGAATAAAAAAGTATACAGTAGATGTTGAACATAGAACATCCAAAACCAAAATGTGAAAAGGCTAAACATTTAAAATATATTGAAACATGCTTATTACTTACCTACAAGAAAGAAGGAACCTCAGTGAATTTTGTAAACCTGTGCCACTATTTCCAATATAATTTTCTATTGTAGAAAAATTATATAAATAAAACTATTAAACGCTTACTAATTAATTTATGTAATAAATATTTATATTTAATGGAATCGAACAGTGTATCATATAAGATACTGATTTTTAATAGTTATCTTCCTTTGAATATAAAAATGTGGCACATATTTGTGTGTTTGGAAAAGTAATTTGGAAATGAATGTCTGATTTGCGCCTATAAAATGTTTCTGTCACTGGTCACATGAAATATCTGGTCTCTTATTGTAGATTGCGGTCTTAAAACAGTATTGCGTGTAAATATTGAGCATAAAATGGGTCTAGTTTTACATAAAAATAAATGTTCCCTGAGATTCCTTCATTAGTTAACACACCACAAAAAGAAAACTTCAAGCGATGGACAAAGGCAACAGCGACAAACAGCCCACGGCACACGACACACGGCATCTTATAGAAAGGGTTCAACTGACAGCACTCACGGTGGAGACGCCCTGCACAAGCAGCGAGTCTGAGTCATCCGAGTGATTCGCTTCCAGCTCCTCGGGCCGCCGCCATGTTGACTCCAAATCTCTCGCCGGTACGCCGAATAAAGCGTAGCCGAAACCGTTCAACATTATCCGGTACTAAAAATGAAATAGAAAGGAGTATGATGTTTCAGAAATAATTTTAATATTTTAGATGATGTACCGTATGATAGTCCAGCCTCTCAATTCATCCTGCGGGCGTCGTAAGAGGGGACTATAAGAAATATCAGTAATATCCTATAGCTTCCACAGATAGTGGTATAATCATTCCGTTCAAGTCAAACATACACGTTTACGTCAAAGTAGTGCGAGAGCAGTGTCCGTATATTACATAGATATAAGATTATAAGTAGATAGTTTTTTTTTCAACTTATTATAAACCAGTGCTGCACTTTGAGGTGGGATTGGTGGCAAAGGTGATGCAGCCTTAGATGGAAAATCGCACTGTCTTAGCGTAAGAAGCTCCTATTTTCACTCTTGCCTTGAATACGCCCAGATTGTATTCTGACGGAAAGATAGACGGTATCAGAACTCCTTGCGTTCAGTAATAATTAATGAGTCTAGGCTAGGTATTTTTACTGAAAAACATTATTGCACGCTCTGTTACGTTCATTGAAGTAATGTGTACTTACGTAGTACATAGCTCAATGGTTACGTTTGTGCTTCGGTTTCAATGGTAAGAGAGCCAATTTATTCAAGCTTTTATATCTCAAACCTGACAACAACTTCTTTGTTTCCAGTTGACATCAGTTGCATTTTTTATAGAATATGGGTGACAAACGAGCACGCAGTCCAATTGCACGACCACGAAGGCTCATAGACATCGAGACATTTAGAATCAAAATTCAGATGCGTTGCCATCCCTGAGGACTAAGATTGAATACCTCGTTTCCAGTAAAAAGGGTGTCCGGTTCTCTACACTCACGATACGAAATACAGCAGCATTGAGCTGTTATTTTACGCTGGTATTATTTGCTGTAAGACCACATCCATCAGTTGTTATGGATCTCTGATAGGCTGCAGTTTTAAGAAACTATCATCCGGATATGAGCATGCCATCTCACGATCCAGAATTTCAGTTATTTACTTTAAGGAATATTTCTAATTTTTTTTAGGTATGGTTGGTTTTAATAATATTTACAGTTTACACCAAACACCAAATGTTTCCTTTTGATCGATCCCGAACATAAAGGTTTTGACAAGTTAGTTGGCTAAAAGCGATCATATCCTGTAGTTATCGATAGAAAAAAAACAGACCCACTAACTAGTCTTTTCCTTTTAAATGATGAAACTGCTTCACTAATATGAACGGGAAACGGAAATAATTTTTTGGCTTATACTTCCAGTAATTAAGTAAGCAATATTGCATGCTGTGTTGGCTTGATGACTATAAAGTTGATGCCTTAAAATTAAAAAAAAAATTGTCTGAAATTACTGTTTTCATAGACTAGACTCATTACGATGACCCCAGTGCACCTCGCACGGAATAAGTGTTAGTATAGCCTTTAAATTGTTCCTGGTCTGCTTGTATAATACCTTGTAATTCATGTATGTAAACCGCCTCCAGGATGCAGGAGAAATTCGTAATTGAGTGTAACGTTTTTTTTTTAAACATTTAACGTTAGGAAAGAAAAGTTTGGTGGTTCTTTTTCTTCCAAAACATTATTAAAGCAAAACTAGAAACTCAGGCAAGCTTACCTTAGGTAGTTTTGTAGCGTGGATGGTCTGAATGACTTTGGTGCGTAGGTTCTCTATGCTGTGCACACTCAGGCGCATCACCAGATCATCGCCAACTCCGATAGTGAGGACAAAACTCTCCGTGTACCGTGCTGCTTCACGACTTATCAGGCCCGCTGAAATTTTATACAAATAAATAGGTTAAAACACTCACACGTGTTTCATTTTCCTGTTTTTAATTTACCACTTTGGGGTTTTATGGGGAAAGATTGAGCCAAGCAAGCATAAGAAAAAGATCACGAACGAAACACTATAATTCTATAATACATCGTGTCAAGATACGTAACTAGTATATATAAAGTAATCTATGATACGTAAGTACCGAGTTGAAGTTGACAACTTCTATACAAATAGTTACAGATATCAGATACTATAGTATACAAATATTCGCACCTTGATGGCCAATACACCGTGCAGTATTCTGTATATACCATAATACCTTCGGAACTTTGATAGTGCGATTTAGGCTACGGTGTGTTTCGCTTGTGGCGCGACGACAGCGCCGTCACACAGTTGTGTATCGCTAGCAACGCAAAATCAGGAATTTGCATTTAGAAAAACCCAAAATTAGGGACGCAATAAAGTTATTAGATATACGATAAATATTAATAGCAAGGAATTAAGTGCTAATTAGTTGCTACAAGTATAGGCAATGACAAGGCGCCCCTAATAAAAATAAAGTCGTTATTCAGAACAAAGCAGATGCAAATTCAGATTTTCTGAAAATCAAAATAGAATCAAAATTGCTTTTAGAAAAAGCCCAAATTAGGAGATTTGTAGGTGCTAATTAGATACCAAGTTTAAAAATTAGTTGCTCTAAAATTGTCACCGCAACGAACTGTTGAAATTTGCGTTGCTGGCAAAACATATAGCTAGCAACGCAATGACGTTATTACGTGCGTATATATGTGCTAATTAAGTGCTGAGCGATTATGGAAACCCGATACAGATTAAGATATTATTATTATAGACAGTGACGATAATATAGATATATACGATAAATATTAATAGTAAGGAATTAAGTGCTGTTGTGCAGTTCCAAAAATGATTTTTCTACCGACATATTTGATAAAAAAACATACGACACACACAATACAATTAACGATACTAACAGATAAATTTAACATAAAATTTTATGTCTGTCTATTTGCATGAACGGATTTTACTCAAAAACTATTGAATCATAATATAGATTCGAATTCATATGTAGATATATGTAGTAATCCCTATTTAGAGAATTGATTCCTTTTAAGTGTTTTAAAACGTTTAAAGAATATTATTTTTCCCTTGTAATTATTTGCATTCTTGTGGACGAATTCACGCAACACATACACGTACACGTACACACGGTACAACTAGTTCTCAATATGGTAACAATAACCTACGTTACAATTTTAAGTTTCCATAGATAGTCAAGGTGCGTGTCTTGTAATTTGACGCCCGCCCCTAATTTCTATCATTATTCGTATAAATGAGGATTGGACTGTGTTATGTTAAACGTAATTATACATATATTTGCCTGGTTTCAAATAAAAAAATAATTTTTAAATATTTTCAGTACTCAGAAGCTGTTTACGTTCAGTAAAGGAATGGAACTGCTCGCTCACATTAGATTACAATGTAGATGTTGAATACACTAAGTGTGAATAGGTTTTTGTTTAACGTGCGTTTTACTATCTTCGGCTACATCACCACTTATTATCAGGTGGCATAGTAGTCAAGACTAAAATTTAATAAATATAGAATATAGATATAGGTTATATTCAAGAAAAAGTCGTGACGTAGGTAGGTAGAAGCCGAAAATATGAATACTAGGCCACAAAATTTTTAAATACTTGGATTCTATAATCTATTTAACTTTTCTTATGATCTTATTGAAAGAGAAGTTAATAATTAAAAGCTTAAAAAATAAGTAGGTACGTATATGATAAAATGTTTACCTGGAGTTGAAAATGCAAATACTTTAAGATGGGGATATCTTGGCCTTAGTTTTAATGCTACTAATACTGCTACGCCAGCTCCAAGACTGTGACCTAGAGAAAATTAAAGAAAATATATAAGATGAATAAAAAAATATTATAACTTGATGTTATTGTATCATGAATGGGAGTTGGAGAAAAATTACCAAGACAATAGATTTAGAAGTAACCTCATTCATTAACAAATTTTAAATGCAAGTTTTTCATTAAAGAAATAAAGATAAAACGTAGTATTCTTTCCTTATGGTCGTTCACATATTTGGACAGCATAAACGCGTCACTCCGCTTCGCGTTCGATCGCTCAGCGTTCACACAGGTCTCCATCGCGCTGCGTTCGTAGGTAAACGCAATTAAGATATCATCATCATTATCATCATAACATCCCATCACAAGTTCACTGCTAAAGGGGAAACCAAAAGCATGCCACGCGCCAACCAGCAAGGTTCTTTGCCACCTACATCCATCGACTTCTTCCACGTCTTGCAAGGTCGTTACACCATATAGTGGAGGCTGCCCTATACTTTCGCCGATGTCGGTTCTATTCTTGGCTTCGGTTAGAGTTGGATTAGTACGTTACGTAATACGTAACGATTTTTTCTTTAACTACTAGTTATGTGGGTGTAGTAAGAAGCAGCAGAGGGAATGAGATAGTAGATGGGCAGCAGTAGGTAGTTTAATACTAGTCCTATAATAGCTGTGATCATAGAAAAAGTAATTTAACGTTATTATTATAACATTTTTTTTATAAGATAAGGGTGACAAACGAGCACACAGTCCACCTGATGGTAAATGGTTGCTGCGGCCCATAGACAAATCTATTATTATATAATATATATATTACAAATATATATATATATATATATATATATATATATATATATATATATATATTACAAATCAAAATGCAGATGCGTTGTCACCCGTGAGGACTAAAATGGAATGCCTCATTTCCAGTAAAAAGGGTCTCCGGTCTCTCTACACTCACCATACGAAACACAGGTTAAGCTGCTATTTTACATTGGTATTCTGTGAGAGTGTGGTCCTTCCCCGTTCGAGCCGACCCATTCGTGCTACAAATATACTACTAATATAGTTGCAGCATGGCTCTACCACGTACTAAATTACATTGTGAAACTTTATTAAAATTAATACTACACCTACATGTAAGAATAACCACTAACCCATATCGACCCTTGGTGTGGTAAGAGACGACAAAGGGAAACTGAAACAGCAGCATCTCTACAGAACTGCGGATTTCAACACACCTGCCAAGCGTGGCAGTTATAGCAAAAACCTTAAATTATTGGATTTATTTACCTGTAAGCACAAGGTCATAATGTGGGAATTGTTGAAATGCACGGTCCAGTACGGGCAGCAGACGTCTCAGCATTTTAGCCGCACCCATCGACATGCCTTTGTGCGCCGCCGTGTCTTCCGGCAACCCTATATTTTAAATATCACATAAACATATTAGGTAATTACAATAAACAGAAAAGAATTTAAAGATTATAGAAAAAATAACAAGTAAATTATTATTGAAATGTATAGAATTAGGATGACAAGCGAGCATACAGTCCACCTCATGGCAAGTTGATGCTGTGACCCATAGACCTAGTCATCAATCCCCCAGAGTACTTCTACTTTCGATTAAGGACCAAAATGTAGACGCGTTGTCACCACTAATGGCTCTTACAGATGAGCGACAGTAGGTCTGCGACCGCTCGCGACACTAGTCGCCGACGGTCGGCAACGGTTGGCGATAGCTTGCAGGTACAAGCGCGCGACCTTGTGCGAAAATCGCCGACCGTCGGTGACAGTAGCCGATTGTCGGCGACATGACGATCGTCAGTCCTTATCTTATAGTCGGAGAGAATGCACGTATTTTTTCACATGACTGTATCTTGACGAGATATTGAGTCCCTTAAAATGTTCATCAACTCATCAAAAGAAGGTATAGACATTCTAAAATAGATAAAGAAATTATCCTTGTCTTTTCCGTATGTTGGTTTCTATATGTCAATATTTCGTGCATCCACAGATGGCGATTTTTCCGTTTTCAAGCAAAAGTAACAACAGTAATTCTTCATCAAAATCTATTATAGGCAACAACGACTCTTAAACTATAATTCTTTTAATAATTTAAATTAGAGGTCATGAGTTCAAGACGGCTGTCGCTGACCGTCGCAAGCGTCGGCGACTAGTGTCGCGAGCCGTCACAAACCCCCTGTCGCTCGTCTGTAAGGGCACTAAGGACTAAGATCCCTCGTTACCGGCACAAAGGGTCTCCTGTTCCCTACACTCACCATACGAAACACAGCAGCATTAAGCTGCTATTTTATGCTGGTATTCTGTGAAAGTCTGCTCTGAACCACTAGTGCTATGATCGGAATATAGGTGCAGCGTGGCTCTACCACGTTAAAAACAAAGAATGATATTGCGGTGACCTGTTATTATATAATGAAACTAGCTGTTCCCCGCGTGTAATTTAGGGTTTTAATTGTGTTAGTAATTATTTTTCTAAAATATAAGTAGCCTAAGTTACTCCTTATAACATGAGCTATCTAACAGTGAAAGTCCCGCGAAATCGGTCTAGCCGTTTCTGAGATTACCGAAACACACAGACAGACAAAAATTTTAAAAATTGTGTTTTTGTTATAAGTACCCTATATATACTTTCATATGCAATTAGTAAAAAAACTGTTATTTTGACATTACAAACAGACACTTCAATTTTATATTTGTATAGATTTGTATGTATATACCCGTTCATCGCACGTTTATGTCGTATTTATTATGTCGTATTATTACTCTTTTTATAGAATATAAGGAGAACAAACGTGCACACAGTCCACCTGATGGTAAGTGAATGCCGTGGCACATTGACATCTACATTTATCCTCAATTAAGAATCATAATACAGATGCGTTGTCACCCGTGAGGATTAAGATGGAATGCCTCGATTCCAGTAAAAAGGGTCTCCGGTTCTCTACACTCACCATACGAAACACAGCAGCGTTAAGCTGCTATTTTACGCTGGTTTTTTGTGAGAGCGTGATCCTACCTCGGTCGAGCCGACCCATTCGTGCTGCAACCACAATATAGCTGCAGCATGGCTCTACTGCGTATAAACTATCACTACCAACAATGTAAAGTAAAATACTCCGGAGATTAAGACAGTACGCATTTTAAAAACCGTGAAGCTGCTTAAACAAAAGGAGGAGGTTGTCTGTTACCCATACACTCGAAAAACATAACCCCCCTTTAGCGTGTGGATCATGACTGTATGATTAACAATTTCCCGAGCAACAAAAAAGGAAGCAACGGCTCCGGCTAAGCTAAATTCATAATTATATAAATAACGAACTTCAATAACATAGTGTGTGGTGTTTTAACGTTTTGTTTCTGCATTTGTTAAGCTCTAATAATCAAAATCAACTAACGTAAATAACTACCAACAGCTTTTAGTGAATCTGGGATCACATACTTCATTCACTTAATTTAAAAAAAAAATAGGCTAAGTCACCATTTTAAATTGTACACTTTGCTCTTAAGCTACGTATTTCAATTATGTATAATATTAGAAAGGAAAAAAAAAAATGAAATTGATGAGAAAGAAACCTTAAAAAACCAGAAAAACTGGGCATAGGCTTAATTTCATAATTTATACGTATTTTTTTATACTTTTAATAATTAGCCATATAATAAAATTAAAAAATTAAAAAAACAGATGTGGCCTCGTAGCGATAAAACAATCTTACCATCAGCCTCAAATTTCTCCGAACCAGCTGTGAAGTCAGTGAAGATATCTCTGAGGGAAATAGAACCCCGCACCGCTACTACAATGCTTTCGCGATCATGATCCGCTATGACGCAGAATGGAAGCTGAAATATTTTGAAATAATTTATTTTTTCTGTATTTGGTTTAATGCATTAATATACTGTATTGTACATCACAAAACGAGAAAAATATAACTATTGTACAGTGCGATTATAAGACAATAGGTATATAATTATAAACTTGGAATATTATTAAATATTCCAATATTAATATAATATTGTAATAATAAAACAATAAGTACACTAAAAATACGAAATAACTAAATATTGTAGACTTACATTATAACTAAATAGGCATACATTATAATGCCTCCTCTACACTACTCGCGAAGTAGATCGAAGTTGGACGAGGCGAATAGTGTAGAGAGGTACTTCGATTCACTTCGTGCAACCTCGCTTCGCCTCGGGCGACTTCCGATCGCTGTCGGTTTTTTGCGCCAGAGTCAAAGGACTTCGCGAAGTACCCCGAAGTTACACGAAGTGTCTCACTACACTACTCGGCGTACGCCAGTTATGAATATTTTTTTTATATAAATATTAAATAATATGTAACTTTCTACATAATTATTTATTTAGTTAACGCATTGACGTCGTACTGTTCACACAATTAGGTACCTATAGCAGCGGCCTCTTGAACGTCATTCATGTTAACTGTGCGGGAGACTCGAGACGACTGAGCTCTTCGCGAAGTAGCACGAGTGTATGGTCACGTTCTTCGGAATGCGATCGACTTCGACGAGCACTTCGTCGAAGTTACTTCGCGAGTAGTGTAGAGGAAGCATAATACAAAAATTTAAATGTTGCTAATGACGATCATTTAGTGCCAGGTAGTGATTTTTGAAGCCAATCTTAAATTTATCCATTGTTTAGGCGTGACGAATTTGCGACGAAATACTTTAAAAACATCTTAGACGGAAATGTGTTCCATAAGCAGAACCTTGACCTTTGTAGCCTTGACCGTGAAAGAGTTCTTAAAGTATTTGGTTCGATAATAATGTAACGTGAGAATAAGTTCCCGACTGACCGTAGAACTCTATCCGATATGTTATGACTAAGAAACTTATTTGGTTCAAAAGTTCTGAGTCATGGAATTGAACAATACACAGTACAGACGTGAAACAGTATGCAGATTCCGGCGAAAGCAAATAGGAAACCACTTGAGATTTGAACGAAATACCTATGTATCTTACAGCTAGATTGTGAATACGCTTAAGTGTTTTTAGTGGGTCCTCAGCATTGAAGTATTATGTTATGTATATTACTTCAATGCGTAACATATTAACTTCAATGGTCCTCAGTTAAACAAAATAGCTTGCGTCATAATTGAGAATAGACAGGACTAAGGGTTTTGCTAAAATAATCTTATTAGGAATGGCGAAAAAAAAAGCCGCAGAGAACTGATGGCAGCAAATGTCTTTCTGCTAACTTCTTTCATTTGATAAGAGCACGAGAAAGTGGAATTAAAGTGGACACCAAGGTTTTTAATGGTTGTACTGTAAAGTATCACAATACCATTTAATATCATTGAGAGAAGTTTATTCCAGTCATCTCTTGAAATAATGCACCAATAATAATAGCCTGGGACTTAATTAATCTCAATTAAAATAAAATAATTAGGATTAATCTTAATTTATGTACCTACTTATTTGTATTGCGATTATGCGAGTAAAATATAATTTGCATTATATCATTGTTCCAATGTAATAAATTTATTATTTATCTATCGTAATTATAATTACGAAGATAAATAGCAACGTCTTTGTATTAACGGGTAAAGGCGTTAGGCGTTATACTGGTCCATAATCATAATATTATGTTATCTAATGTTAACAAAATGTATGTTTTATGTTATTTTGCATTGCTAAATATTAGCATTCCAACAAAAGAATCAGTATGAATAATACCTTCTTCTAAATTAAAAAAAATTCTTACTTCAAAGACGCGATTGTTGAAAGAGGCAAAGATAATATCGTCCGCGGAGAGCTTTGACATGTACTTGACGCCGGCGAAGTGGCACAAGCAGCAGTTATCGTCCGTTACTATTGAGTTCTTCGGCCTGAAAAAAAACTTCTTTACTTAGGAAATAATGGATTTTAAATGTTTATAAAATATATAATGCGAATGTAATTTAATGATCATGTCATAACATAATGATAATGATTGCTAATTTTGTAGTTTCATTCTGGGTTTATTTTAAATTTCTCATGTTTTATATATCGTCATTTGGAAAATCGATAATGGAAGAGACTCTTTGCATCCATTTTTTCTAGCGGCTGTTGTAAGAGGCGTCTAATTCAAGTTAAAATCATCTCATATTATACGGTCACTAAAGCATTTAAATAACATAATAAATAAAAGTAAAAGATACAGACAGACTCCTCATGTATCGTTCTAGAAAAATATTAAGAAAAATGGTCCATCTTTGAAGGAGGAAACGAGGGAATACGGAATGATGAATTCATCAATTTCTCTTAGGTATAAACAGTTCGAGCGGCAGTTGTCTCTCTTGTCTGTCTTGCTCGGTCATCACATCATGATAACAACAGATCTTTAGAAACCTATTTTTCAATTCCAAACATGCAACGGAGATCATGAAAAAAAAAGATGGCAAAATCCCCCTTTAGAAGCAATGTATGGGGAGGCTTATGTTCAGCAATGAAAACTGAAATGGATGGATGAATGGAACCGAGATCAGTGTTAAACATGCATATACTTCTGGAACTGCAATCGCTAATAAGTCTATCGAGCAGGGCCATTCTCTGACGGCAAGGATCAGATCCAACAGTAGCGAGCTGATGATGAAGAGCACATTGCTTATTATTGTGTGGTTATATTAGGTATATCGATATTGTAGGTGAGTCGGCGGACCACTCTCTATTTAAAAAGAGTTTGATGACTATTATCTAAATTTTTCAATAATTATTTTTTTAATAATTCTTGACTTTACAAATACGAAAACTTAGAATTGATATATCTATTTATTTTAAATATTTAGTTCCATTTTCAAATTTGTTATCCACAGAGATACATTTTCTCAACAATTTTATGATACGTACCGACAACAACAACAAGTCAAATGTTTGGCAAGTTTACAAAATCCGGTAAAACAGTGCCGGTACAACACATAGGGCCAGCCGTACGCCGCTATCGATAGCCTCAGATAGTGCAATGCGTCCTCTAAGTTCATCCACGGAGGGGTCTCTGAGAATATTTTGTTTACATCCGTAGTATATATGGGCTCCTCGTCATTTAACATCTGTATGCGTCGCATCTCCCTCGTTTCTCGCTTCTGTCGTACTCTTAAAAGTACGCAACCAGCAACAACGTCTGACGGCACAAGGTCGGTCGATCTGAATAGAGCGCTCAGCAAAGCTAAAAAATAAAATAAAGAAATTTTCAAGGTCACACAGGGCTCTTAAACAAAGGCTTTTTTTCATTATTATTGAACGAGACATTTTAACCCAGTTAGCGATAAGACGCTCTTGAACCGAAATGTAACTTAAAACAAAAGTCAGATATGAAAACATTTACATATTACATACTACGTGACGAGCTGAGTTGTTTTGCATTTTTGGTGTCAAGGTCTTGCAGTGGTTTTTCATATTATTTTAAGATGTAATTTATTTACATTTCTTTTGAAAACGTTATATCCCTTAAGAGTAGGAATGTGTAGCATATTATATTACTAATTTTATATTTTTTCCTTTACTGAGCACTGAGTTCACCGGATGATTAGTGGATGCTGTGACCCGTAAACCTGCCTACATATATCCTTAATAATGAATTAAAATGCAGATGCGTTTTTATCCCTAAGGACTACGATGGAATGTCTCATCAGTCATCACCAGTAAAAAGGCTTACCGCTTCTCAGCACTTTTGATTCGTAACACTGTATTATGTTCGTAGGAGCGTGGTCCTTCCCCGGTCGAGTCGCACTATTAGCGGTGCAATGTGGTTCTATCAGGTATAATATTTATATAATACGTATTAACACTAATCTTTAAACAGGTATATATTATAATCGTTGGTGCGTCTGTTAGTGATCGTATAATTTCTGAAAGACTCGACCGATTGAGGTCATGTTCACACAATACATTTCTTTTGTCGAGACGCTGGTTCATAGCTATTCTAGGATCTGATATTTTTGATATTTGTCGAGGCGCTGGATTTAAGTTATTAACAATAACTTCTATATTTATTGACTAGAACGACATATACATATTTACTTACTATTAACTATTTTTTATTATATATAACAGTTTATATTAATAACTTTTATATCAACATTTACATTGTAAAAAGTCCCGAGTAGAATCATAATGAAACTCATCTCCGGAAATTGCAAGAATGTTGAAGATGTTTTGATTTTTGTTTCTCAAACACGTACAAACGCCCACAGATTAAGATAAAATTTGGTACACAGATAGACCATGTCCTGGTTTATTAAATGGTATACTTTTCGCTAAAGGAAAATAATGCTTGCCGTGGGGGAAGCTAAGATGCAGGTAAATGCTAGCATAAGTATAAATTTATTAAAATATCTTTACCGTATTTTTTGTATATGTACATTATATAAAGAAAATGTCATTAGATCCGGTAGTGTAGACTAAAGGCATTAATGGTAATTACGTTCTAACATTTTTTGCCTCTTTTCTTGTGCAACTGTTTTGTTCTGTGTTTTTCAAATGTTTCAATGTAATATAAACGATGTGGTACTTACAAAAGTATTAATACATATTATTACTTACATCCTAAACAACATACACTTGTTTAAAAAAAAGTAATGGAAAAATATAATTTGTTTTGTATCAGGTAATTGCCACAATTCGCTATTTAGAATTCTGATGGACTGTCACCCCTGTGGAATGCTTGGTTACCAGTAAAAGGGTATCCGGTTTTTGTCACTCACTATACGAAACAGTCGTATCGGCAGCTATTTCACGCCGGTATTCCGACGGAGCGTTACCGGTCGAGTCGATAAGCTGCAGCCAATTTTTTTTAATAACGTAAGGCATCTATTCACTAGTACAAAAGATATATCTTATTAAACGAAAGCAATCTCGAATTCCGTAGAATTTTCTATAGTATCTTATATAATATTATATTAATATTTCTTTTCTACCTAGGATTTCTTCAGGGTAGGTAACACTCTTTTACCTATTTATAGAGAGCATAGAGAGTCAATATAATGTGGGCTAAAATCTCCCGCTCACCAGGTGTCGCCAGTTGACACTGAGGTAAAGTTTTTTGTTAGACAATGTCATTTAATTGAGAAGTTAGTTTTAAATAAGTTTATTCAGTTTTTAGAGTATCATATTAATACACAAATCAATACCTTAGTGGTTCGATTTTTAATTTTTTTGCCCATTTTAAACCCTTTTTGAATTTTTTATATTTTTATGAATATCTGTGGTTTGGTTTATCTATTTTTAATCTAACTATTATAAAATATAAACTATAGTACAGAAAGAAACATAAACCTTTATATTTTTCTTTACTTCCCCGCTATGAAATCTGTCAAATATATTACACCTTATTTTAAAGTGGCGCCACCCTGGTGGCAGAAAAAGTCATGGATGCCCTTATTATAGGCAGTAAGACATTCCATCTTAGTTCCCAAAAATGTAGCCTTATGTATGAAGTTAGCTGCAGTTGTTCATGGACTGCAATAACTACTTTCCATCAGGTAAGTAGCAGTGTAAGTTTGTTTGTCACTTTCAGTTTTAGAAAAAATGTTACACAATTCATAAAATATTACCTGCTACTTGTTGAAAAGCTTCTTTTCCATGCTCGTCTCTCTTCAGCCAGCAGAAAGCCCAGCGAAACCTTCTAGACCAGAGTCCAGTTACTTTTCTATGGTGCCGCGCTTGATTTGGTGTGTCTTGCATATCATCATAATTCACTGAACCCAGTGGGTCGAACACCATAAAAAGGCCGAAAACTGTAAGCGCTAATTGGACCCAATTGAAAAGGACTATACCTAGAATGCAACCAAAGTATTTTTATGTTTGGCACGTTCTTACAAAAAGTAAACATAAGGCAGCAAAATAATAGACTTACTTTGTATAACGATACTAGAAAACTTATCTGTCACTGAACATTCGATAACTTCGCAGAACATCCACATTGTTCCCATTACATTTAAAGCTAATTCTGGCAACACCAATAAAACTCTGAAATCAAAACATAAACGTTACGAGTAAATCTGTGAAATATGAATATGTATACGCACGCACCGGGAATAACTTTGGGCTGACCTTTAAGTAAGTACTCCATGACCGTTTAGTGAAATAGCTTTATATTAGTACTATAAAAGATAAACCGCTGGTTATTATAATAAAACGTTAAATTTGCAAGTACAAGTACTATTATAGTGTTTTTTTTATCGTACATGCTATGAGTTATATTCTATTTATTACGAGTACATAGTGGCTTTAAGACTGAAACAGTGGCCAGTGTTAATGTATCGGGGGCATGGCAGTGCCCCCGCCAAGTCGAGCAAAAAAGCGGCATGGCTGTACCATCCTTTTCTCGAAGCAGTTCAGGCCATTTTCGAAACAAAAATTTTAAGCATCATATTTGTAAGCATTTTGTTCCTCACAACTAACAATTAATCTATAAATAAAATTTAAGTCTTTTATATCGAAATACCTGCCGTAAATTGAGCTGAGGAGTTATTTGTAAGCCATTAAGATATAAATAACCGTTTAAAAACATTCTGTCTTTCCAGGCTAATTTTCGGAATGGCTTAACCAATTTTAATGAAACATCAAAAACAAATAGACAGTAATGCCAGAAGTTATCTAGACATCTTATCTGAAAATCTCGAAGATTTTATTTTTGTAAAAAACTACAAATTTATAAAATAAATTAATAAAAAATCACGTATCTTCAGGAGTTTAGTGTATCCCTAGAGCACTAAGCTCTTAAAGCACTGATATCTTTAGTTATCTACTCTCAAAAACCAAGAAACCTTAAAAGAGTACAACCCGCTTTATAAGCAAAAAATAATTAAATGACTTCCACATAACAATCCTGCATCCCTTGGACAGTTGACTGAAGTCGGTACTAAGACATAGTGTATCGACGGACGACGTTCAAAGTTACAATTAGAATGTCGTCTGAATAGTCAAATTAAAATCTTCATTCCTTTTTCTTCCACCAGATACGGAATTTTTTATCAAATTTATATGGGATATCGCATATAATAAAATTAAATAAAAACATCTAAATCGAATCAGCCGTTTCTGAGAAGTCGGTGAACATACACAAAAATATACTATACAGAAAACTTATACTGTAGAGAACCTTCTCGATTTCGAAATTGGATAAATAACTAAGTTATAAAATTGTCTGATTAGAAGATAGTTATTACAATAGGCTTGATAAAAAAAATTGTCTCATACTATTTAAAAATACATATTTATATTTATACATATATTTCCCATAATTAATTCTATTTTCTTTTAAAAAATAATAAAGAAAAACCGCCTATATTTCTGAACAACCCTTTATGAATCTACAATAGTGATTTAAATTTCAAATGGAATGCGTGCCTTTGTAAGCATTCTCTAGATTTAATTTTTTTAGCCATCATGTTTGGTTTATTTGGATAACGTAGGTTATGTTTGTAAAGTAAATAACAGAAGGTTTATTTCATATCATTGAGTTATTATGTACTAAGTACGTAAGTACATTATACTTCAATGTTTCATATACGATTGCAATATTAAAGGTAGATTTCATAGATCGACTTTTAAATGTGTAAAAATTAAGCTCCTGGGCACTGACCTCCTCTCATTTCTGAAAGGGTTATAGTAGCAATATTTTGGCGGAGATAGAAAATAAAAATAAACGTTACCCCCCCCCCCCCCCCCCCACTAGCTATTTCTCCTGTATCGTGGAGGCAGTTTACAAACATAAATTGAACAAACATCCAGACCCGGAACAATTATTTGCAGGCCATACAAATACTTGTTCCGTGCAGAATTCGACCCCGCACGGAACTATTATGCATGAGGTAGTAGGACTTCTTTTTTGCTTAGGGCCTGTCAGGATAGGTACCACACTACTACCAATTTTTGTCACAAGTAGCGTTGCAGCCAATACTGTGTTCCTATCTGAAGGGTGCGATTACAAAGAGTGAGGCATTCCATCTTAGTCCTCACAGGTGACAATGCATCTGTAGCCCACTTTATTTGCTGCAGATGCCCATGAACTGCAATAGCTACTCACCATCATGGCCTATATGTTTTCAATTTTATAAAAAAAAAATATTGGAAAGCCAAAAGTGTGTACTCACTTTAAAACCAACAAAGGTGCGACCATCTTTCTTGCATCGACATCTGTTATGGTGCCTTTGGCGGATTGCTGTGCTAGAGCTGCCAACAGCAGCATCAACACCGCTTGTAGAGCCAGCGTACCGCAGAGGTAGAGTCTGACAAATGCGCCGCCATCCCATCCCTCGGTTTGACACTGCCATGTTATTGGGTATAGGACTTCTACAACCAAGGCAATAAGCACCAGCCTGTGGACAAAAAAATTTAATCAAAATAAAACCAAGTGAAGTAACAATCCATTATTCTTGTTTCAGGGGAAAAGCCTCCGCTTATTTCAGAGTGGAGTTTTTTATTATGAAATCGTAGTCACAACCAAGCTTACAGTCCATCAGATATCAGATGGTAAGTGACTACTGCAGCCCATGAACACTCTGTTTTATTTTTTATTTATTTTAAAAAAACGTTACCTACACACTAGGGTTTTCTCCTGTACCGTGGTTGCAGTTTACAAACATATATTTCACAATCACAAACATCCAGACCCGGAACAATTATTTGTAGGCCATACAAATGCTTGTTCCGTGCGCGCGGCCCTTAAGCCTAACTTAAAAACTTAAAACTAAACTAACTTAGTTTAATCTTAGCTTGCATAGTTGAGCCAGTTTTTCGTACATGTGCGTCCACCGCAAACTATTCCAGGTAAGTTATGAATGTATGAAAAACTGGCTCAGTGATGCGAGCTAAGATAAACTAAGCTAGTTTAGATTGCGGTGGACGTTCGGCTTAAGCGATGCAACTCATTGGACTGAGATGAAAAGTCTCACAGCCTGTGATAATATGTACCTACTAGATCTCTATGCCCTACAGATCAGTACACAGCAGTGCGCGTAGAAATAAGGTGGTGAAGGGTGGTGGCAGAGAAGTAGTCTTAGGCCTGTATTAATAAACGTTACTCAGCTCAAATACACGCACTTGAGTACAATATTGAGGTTTACGATATCAGCTAAGTGCCACACCGATTAATAAAAGAAACCCGACTCTCATGTGTGTGTATTTTAGTGCAAGTCACAGAACAGTATTCCTAAGTACAGCGTATTGAGATACTGTTTTTATATGTTTATTAATTAGCAACGATCTTGAGATGCTGATATCGTATTGAGGGCGTATCAAATGATTACGCACTTGAGTTCGTCGTTGAGTAACGTTTATTAATACGGGCCTTTGAGATAGTAGGCCTTTAAGAGATAATAAGAAACACTGTATTTGAAAACAAATACTAGCATTATTCATTTTTTTTAAAAGACATAAAAGATAGTAGTCGAATGGCGGATTCGAACCCACAACCCTTTGAGTACGCGGTCTACACTCTACACTGTTTTCTATCTTATTCTCTCGCACGCTAAATCCTACATATGAATATATTTGTCTATTTTTAGTGTCGCTTTTTCGTTCATCGAAATTCAAACAAATATACTATATTATCTATATCTTTGATTTCAAATCACAACGTTTCTCAAAAAGTTATCACTTCAAAAAAAACGTGTGTGTGTGTGTGTGTACTTATGTACGCACGTAGGAAGTTCTTCTTTACTTCTGTCACTTTACACTGTCACTTCTTTAGCGTAACAAAACAAAAATAACTAAAAATACCTCAAATATAGTTATCAGTTCCCACGCAAACTTGCCAGACACCCAATGAAGTTGTCGCATTGAGGTGTCACTGTGCGCGTGCATCGTAACAACTTCATGGTGTCGATTTTAGCTGTCGGTGTGCACGCGCATCATAAAAAAATCACTCTCATAATTTCCCCAAACGCCCCAAAAGAAGTATAACTTCAAAAATAAAAAATATAATAGCAATGTTGTGTAGTATCAATTTTTCGATGGAGAAATGAAAAAATCTTGTAATTTAAAAATTAACGACCTCAATTGAGAAATAACACCAAAGTGAACTGCCACTTCTAAAAAGGTTAAGCGTCTCTCGCATCAAGCTTCGAGTAATGAATACGATCAAAAAATGTCGCTACAATTTAAAGTCCATTACAGAGTTATCAGACTTGAGTTCCCAAGGTTAAGGCGGCTGTTATTCGCAGAGAGTCATTATTTTAACTTTTTTAGATCCTCTATGCCATTTTCCTTAATAAACTATAAGCCCATCACATTCATCTGACTCTATGATCCCAAAATATTAATCTATGTTTTATACACTTCCCGTTTGTAATTTAAGTGGTAGAGCCATGTTGCAGCTATATTATAGTTGTAGTACAAATGGGTCGGCTCGACTGGGGAAGGACCATGCTCTCACGGAATAACAGCGTAAAATAGCAGCTCAATGTTGTTGTGTTTCGTATGGTGAGTGTAGAGAAACGGGGACCTTTTCCACTGGAAACGAGCCATTTAATCTTAGTCCTCACGGGTGACAACGCACCTGCATTTTGATTCGTAATCGAGGATGGATGTAGATGTGTATGGGCCACAGCAACCACTTACCATCAGGTGGACTGTGTGCTTGTTTGTCACCTTTATCCTATAAAAAAAACTATATATTTAATCTATAACTATCCTATTATTTAATGAATAAAATAATATACAGACAATTTCATTCGTATTTCTTTACACGTATAATATCAGATAAGAGTTAGGGTCGTGAACACTAGATTTAACTCCTAGCCCCGATCGTATTTGAGGAGATATTGTTATAGTTACGCTAGTATATAGTAAGCCTAGCATGGTTAGCTGCAACCCGGGGCCGATAGAAAAAAAATGAAGATGAATAAATAAAAATATATGCACAAACGCGGAACCTAAATCCGGTTTCAAATCTTAAATGGGCGAGTCGGGGCAAATATTTCGAGTATTGCCAGCTAGCGCACTCTTGGATAGGCCTTGTAGTATAGTCACAAAGGCAAGCCTAGCTATTTACGTAAATATCTTGCAGGTTTTGTTTAATAATTGTGACACAAGCGTTAAGGGTGCGTGACGTTTGTTACTGCTATCGTCACAGAATAAATATTATCTTAGATTATTGATAGGTCTTCACGTCAGAGCGTGCGATGACCTATTAATAATCTAAGAAATATTATAATAGTACTACGTACTATCGTCTAACCGACTGTTTTTTATTGGTAGATTATGATGATGACGCATTATTGTGAAAGCTCCTAGCGTAAAATTAATAACTATAAATTTATTATACATATATAATTTTAAAGTCCTTTCTGATGTCAAACACCCTTAAGACATATGTCCAGCAGACATAGAAATGTTTTGATTGTGATCAAACTTAGACCGATACGACACGAAATTTGAAACAAGCGTGTGTTATGTTTATGTACCCACGCGTTATAGTACTTTGTGTTCATAAATAAATATAAATGTTAACAAGAATAATAACTATAACTATTAATACGTTGTAACTATGTCGATGAACGTAATATATTACCATTAATAAATTATAAAAGCTTTTAGAAAAATTTACTTCGCAAATATCCGCCTTATAAAATAAAATGATGTGTCTTACCTAGTATGAAGAGCACCTCCCGCCCTCCCTCAATTGCGTGCACTATCCCCGTCACCACTAATCCCAGCACCGCTACTCCCAACACCACTACACTAGGTAAGACACACCACTGACGATAATACGACACGTGTTTCGCCTCTACACGAGGCATCCTCAAGTGATATAGACTCTACGGTGGCTAACCGCTAAGATTATTAATTATATTAATAAATTAATTGTAAAGCAGATAAAATAAAGTGAACATACATACATGATTTTCTACACAAAACGCTTTTGACAATTAAATGAAAGCATTTTGATATCGTTTATAGAATTTTCGTTCTCTGTGCGGAAAATATTTCTACAAAAAGTTATGTTTAAACAAGTACCCACTTAGCGTTGATCCCATACAATTATTAGAATTTTGGCCGCAGAAGATACTAGTCTTGTTGTTTTATTATCTGAGGTCTTGATAAATTTTACTGAATGTGAAGCATCTCTAATATTACCTTCTTCGTATATACTTGTGTTGTTTTGACAATAATAAAGATTTGAATAAAGATACAAAGACAAAGATCGTTTATCGTGCCAAGCAAATTGCAAAAAAAAAAGCAGTAAATCATACTGTAAGGCCACTTATCCAATTTAAAGGCAGATTGTTAAATAAGCCGTGCGACTCATTACTTCCAAGACGATGTTATTATGTGCCTAGTGTCTGCAAAAATACTTGTCACTTGTCTTCTCTATTGAATCATCACAAATAATTGTAGCTTCTTTTACATAATATCACATAGTAAATATTTACAGAATAATTTTTATGGATGTGGATGATTCAAATTTCTTGTTAATCGCACTGATCATCATCAAGCCTTAGATTATCTACTGCTGGAGACGAGCCCCTCCCATAGTAGGGAAGATTTGCTGTAACCGCCACACTTAGAGATGGATTGGCGATTGCACTCCTTGTTAGTATTACTAATAATGATAGACTGATATAGGTGTTGTTCAAAGAAATTGTAGAGACAGGACTCGATTACTACTAGTGGATGTAAGCGGATTCATGGTATCAGTAATCAAACAATTCTTTATCTAATTGTTATGAATGTTTGACGGCTCCGTGACGTAGTGGCTTAGCAATGAGTTGCTGCGCTGGGGCCGCGGGTTCGAATCCCGCACGGAACAAGTATTTGTATGGCCTACAAATAATTGTTCCGAGTCTGGATGTTTGTCCTTGTGCAATTTGTGTTTGTAAACTGCCTCCACGATACAGGAGAAAATCCTAGTGTGGGGGTAATGTTTTTAAAAAAATCTGGTTGCTATATTCCATTAAGTGTTTGCCTATTTTATAATTTTTTCAATCTAAAAAGAAATCTAAAATACATATTGAAAATTAATGTTGAGATTGAGTCCAATTAATCAGGCTTGAGAAATTCTATTTTTTTATACAATATGGGTGACAAACGAGCACGCAATCTACCTGATGTTAAGTGGATGCTGAGATCCATAGACATCTACATTTATTCTCGATTAAAATACAAAACGCAGATGCGTTGTCACCCCTGATGACTAAGATGGAATGCCTCGTTTCCAGTAAAGACGGTCTCCGGTTCTCTACACTCACCATACGAAACACAGAAGCATGAAGCTGCTATTTTACGCTGGTATTCTGTGAGAGCGTGATCCTAACCCGGTCGAGCCGACAATAGTGGTGTGGCTCCACCACGTAATTCTAGTGCGACGATTTTTCATAGAGTTCATACATGGATTCTACTTTACCGATTCATAATGATAGCACTATGTAGTTCAGAGGCTGGTCACTCGCCTTAGATGTTATATGACACGAGTTTGATCATCGACTATGCTCAAGTTTAGTAATAACCGACATTAAGAAGATACCTGGAAAAAAATAGTTCATGGACGTCTGCCAACATGCATTGGATCATCGCAAATTAAATGTTCCTATTCTAAAATCCTCATGAGGGGGAGGCCTGCGCCCAAAAGTGTGACGTACATTTTTTATAGAATACGGCTAACAAACGACCACACAGTCCATCGATGGTAAGTAGATACTACATTTATCCTCGATGCAGCACGAATGTGTCGCTACGATCGGGGTACCACGATGACCACCCTCTCACAGAATACCAACGTGAACCAATAGAATAATGCTGCTGTGTTGCGTATGATGAGTGTAAAGAACCCAAGACCCTTTTCACTGTTAACAAGGACTTTCATATTGCTCAGAGGTGGCAACGCACCTGTATTTTGATTCTTAATCGAGAATAAATGAAGATGTGTATGGTTACAGCATTACTTACCATCAGGTGGACTGTGTGCTCGCTTGTCACCCTTATTCTATAAAAAAATACATCTATCTTCGATTAAGAATTAAGATACAGATGCAGAAAGTCTCCAGTGCTACGACAGTTATACGAAACATAGCAGCATTATTTTGCTATAACTGTACTTTTGACAAATTAAAAAATTAACAAATTTGATATGAGCACCACGCTTGCACAGAATTTTAATGTAAGATGAAAAATGTTTATGTCCAGCAGATATAGAAATGCAGTGGTTAAGATAAAACTTAGATCGATATGACACGAATTTCAAAGCAAGCTTGGTACGTTCATATATCTACGCATCATAGTTCGTTGTATTCACCTATAATTAAAAATACATACATATTAACAGGAGTAATTATAACTATTCATCAACAAAGGTTCATTAACAAAGTTACAATGTAATAATGGGTATTACATTGTAACTTTGTTGATGAACCTTTAATTAAATTAATTTTTAATTAATTAATTAATTAAGGCAGATGCAGGGCCACGCTCACACAGAATACCAGCGTAAATAGCGGAATAATGCCACTGTTTTGTATGATAAATGTAAAGAACCGGAGACCGTTTTCACCACACTTGCATCTTGCACACAATTTTAATGCAATATACTAACGCTGCTGTGGATTGTAGTGACAAACGAACTCGCAGTCCACCCGCCAGTTCGTTTGTGTCAAGTGGCTACTGCAGCCCATGGACACCTGCAACCAACTTCAAAGAGGTTACAGATGCGGTTACAGATGCGTTGGATACTCAAAGAACTAAGATGGAATACCTTACAGCCTGTAATTACACTGGCTCTCTATAACCCTTTGGACCCCTATCCTTTCAGTAGAATTTGGTAAGATGGTGGTATATTAATCCATACGAATAACACCTACTAATATAATCTATTTTCTACCGACTTCAAAAAGGAGACGGTACTCAATTCGACTGTATGTTTTTCTTCTTTTTTTATGTGAATATTTTACGAACTGCAAGAAATTTGAAGAATACAAGTAGGTCTTAAACGATGAATTATTATTGTCGCTATATGCACGAACGACAAAGCAAGACAACACCGAGAAAGAAAAGTGCATTTAGGACAGATTATAAATATGAAAAATTGACAGATTATAAATATGAAATTTTTTTCACGCACAATATATAAGGCTATGTCTGTATGTATGCAATGTAACTGGGCAATTATAGTAATTTTAAAAGTATCTAATTAAATTAATAAAAGCTCCCAATTAAAATTACCGATTTCGATGATTCTTTTTGTATTTGAAAGCTGGTGCTTCTCATGTGGTCTCATATTAATTTGATCAAAGTCTGACCAATAGTTTTTGATTTATTTTTAATAATTTATATTGAAGTCGGTTATACAAAATTTTTAATTTTAAATTATGTTATATATTTATCGACAACTAACTGCGAGCTAGACGCTTAACGTTGAGCGACACCGTTTTATTTCTGTGTTATGACAAGGCATCTATTTGTATCGGAATTATTCGTTGATGATAGATAAAGGTGTCTATGAGCCACAGTCTCATAGTCTCACAGTACATGTGTGTGTCACAAATTTACAGTAATGTCTTCGAAATGATCGCTGTAATGTCGCGAGTTTCACTACAGCTTGGCAGCCATTTTGTACGTCATTGTGAACTTTCTCAAGTACATGGTTGTATAATGTATATATTTTTTATTATTTTGAAGTTTTTACCTCCATAACTGATTATTCTTGTTCATTCAACCTGATTATTGTGTAACAATTTGGCTAGTATGCAGTTCAAAGTAACATAGTTTGATCGTGGAACTGCTAAATTACGACCGCATCCAGCGCAGAGCGGCTCGAATCGTCAACGACCGAGTCCTTTCCGATCGGCTCGACTCATTGGCACTGCGAAGAGATGTTGCATCTCTTAGCATTTTCTTTCGCATTTACCATGGGGAGTGCTCTGAGGAATTGTTCGGATTAATCCCAGCCGCCAAATTTCACGAACGCACATCGCGGCAGAACTCCCGATACCATCCACACCATCTGGATGATTGGCGGTCCACCACTGTGCGATTTAGAAGATGTTTTCTTCCTCGCACAACTTCCTCGTGGAATAGTTTACCACCAGCGATTTTTCCGGACCGATACGACTTAGGGACCTTCAAGAAAAGAGCCTACTCCTTTTTAAAAGGCCGGCAACGCATCTGCAATTCCCCTGGTGTTGCGGTTGTTTATGGGCGGCGGTAGTCACTTACCATCAGGTGAGCCGCATGCTCGTTTGCCCCCTCTCCTATAAAAAAAAAAAAAAAAAAAAACGAATAGGTATGTATCGTAGTATATCAACAGCATTTTTGAATCGACTGATAAACGTAGGCCTTTCCTTCAGTAAAAGTATGTGTATGTGTGTGTATGCAGTATGGATTTTGTGCAGTCGATTGTCAGGCCTTTGTCCATCAATCAGGATCAGGAAGAAGCCGCGTGTGTAAGCCTCTCCTCCATTACGTATGTATAGTTACGATGTACATATTACAAATAAATAATACTTTCAAAAATTTAAGTGCATTTCAAATATATTCAACATTTAAGTATTGAAGTTATGTGATATTATTCGTAATTATATACGATCTTCATTCTTGTTTTAGTTACATCACTACACGTGTAACATGCAATCAAATCACATACCAAACAAATCGGAACAGGAGCTCGAAGATACTTGGAAATACGAGATCGTCTGAGGCTGCCAGCCATTTGCGCCCGAGCAGCCGGAGCGCCGGCATCCTGTGACAAAACAAATTGAACTTTAAATGCATGGCTTTCAGTCTTATTTCAAACACATCGATAGGTCTTACGATAACTTCATTTTATTTATTGTGAATTCTAGATTTATTGCACAAGGCTTCCTTTCCTATAAATGGTGCTATAATCATCCTGTTTACGCTAAAGGACGACGGCTTGACAACTTGACGGCTCTGTGGCTCAAAGGACTAGTATTTTTTGCAGCGCTGAAAGCTGCAGAATGCTCGATTCGAACAAGTACCCACGTGGTACAAGTATTTGTAGGCCATACAAATACTTGTACAATGCAATGCAATGTTCTTAGCTTACTGTTAGCTTAGTCACGTTCGCATCAGTATATTTCATAGAAATAATCGCTAAAATATTGATACTATACATATCTAGAAAAGTTTTCTCCACCGCCGAAATTGCGGTTGACCATCGCAGAAAATATTTAAAAAAAAACTCGGCGATGTTTATTTAAAAAAGTTTTCATTGAGCAAAAATCTATCTACCTCTCAAAACTTTAAATAAAACATAAAAAATTAAAAATAATGCCATTACAAAATTTGATTACAGTTGCTGTAAAAGTGTCTGAGCAAAGCAATAAAAAAATTGCGACCGCCTTAACATAGCCTACTTAGGGGCATTTCTCTTTGACGTGGTTTTAATTATTCGACTAGATGATATGAATAACCACAACATACATAAACTATGTACGTGCTTCTACTGGCGAGATTGTCGCTAACTTTGAGTTTAGAAGTCTTGTTTCGTGTGTTTTATATATTTGAAATATCAGCAGTAACTTTATATTCACATCATTTTTCCTTTTTATTTTGGTATCAACAGTCTAAAATTAAAAAATATTGAACATAAACATTCAAAGTAACTTTTTGTGAACATTTTGGCACAAAAAGTGACCTTTTAAATATGAAATAAGGTACGTGAGGGTAATATAGTCACCTTAAGCTTTGCCGCCTTATAAAACCAAAACTAGGAGGAGGACAGAGACAAATACACAATTTCGTATACTATAACTAATATAGAAAAAAATAACAAACAAGCCTTGACAATAATTAGCAACACTTCGAAAAATCAACTTAAAAAACTAACTATAGTACGTGAGGGTAATATCGTCATCCGGTTAATATGGTCACTTTCTTATATAACCCATAAACTAAAGCGTCGTTTGCATAGTACGCTCTGTGATTACGATAGCTCTTGATCAGTCTATGAAATAATAAAGGATCAAAAAGGCGCTCCTTTATCGACGCCATTTTGTCAGTTGATATTATTGTAAATATTTTAGTTGATTTTTGTATTGTGTAGTGTAGTTAGTTTTTTTAAATAGATTTTTCGAAGTGTTCCTAATTATTTCCAAAGCTTGTTTGCTATTTTTTTTTCTTAATATATTAGTTATAGTATACGAATTTGTGTTTTTGTCTCTGTTCTCCTCCTAATTTTGGTTTTATAGGGCGATAAACTCACGTACTTACTATAATATCAACTGTCAAAATGGCGTCGATAAAGCGGCGGCCTTTTGACTCTTTATTATTTGAATGACGGATGAAGAGCTATCGTATCACAAAGCCGTCTATGCAAATTAGGCTGTAGTTTTTGAGTTATAAGAAAGTGACCATATTAACCGGATGACCATATTATCTTCACGTACTCTAATGTATAAATATTACCGTGCAGTGGAAATATTATTCAAAGTATTTGGGTACCAAAACCAAAATAAACTTAAAACAACCAAAAACAAAATATGTTTAATTTGCTTTATTGCTAGATGCTTGAGCTGTTCTTTTCGAAGCTTGCTAAAAAAGTCATAATTCATACGCCAACGTTTCGGACAACGCTTCGCGATCTCGCGAGACGTGTATGCAACAAACATGTTTTACAAAGCCTTTCGGATGAATTTGTCCATGACGTGTCCCTAAAACATAGCGATTATATTCTCTTTTGGTGTTCCCGTCCACCTGGATGATGGTGCGAGATCAGCATCTCCGTCACCACGCACTTCGCTCCATCGTCTCGCTTACCAAAGAGTGATGCGGGACACTGTCACTGAGCGATTACACAATTCACAACAGGTAGGTAGAGAGTTCGAGAGGATTAGGCAAATATAAATAATATGTTTGCATGCAGTATCGAACTTATAGGCTAGAGTTCAAGACGTTAGTATGCCAAACACGGAACTTATTATTGTTGTGGCGGGGTTTATTAGTGTATTAAAATCTTTCGTTAGAAGATAATCACTGTTTATTAAGCTCAGTTTAATTACAAGACAGTACATAGCGCAAGCACACTTAGCATTCGCATATTGAAATTGGAAAACGGAAATCAAATAGTAAAATCATAGACAGGCTATAAATTAGAGACGAGGCATTCATAAACGGAGGTACACGACGTCAATATATATACATCACTATGTGTGACTCAATACTACACTGCTCTCAGAACAATATTATTGTTCTAAGGCTGAGCTACACTACCTCTAGTGATGACAAAAAACTAGTCGGGTGTATTTCATACGAGTTAATTGTCTCTGGTTTACTCCGAGTATGTCCAATGACCATGACCCATGACATATAAACAAATTGGCTCTACAAAATCCATGAGATTAATTATTCTTTCTACGATTTACCGAACAGAGAGTTACTATAATTAGAAGGTGAAAGAGAGTATCGAGTAGAAAATAAATGATTATACACTTTTCTTATTTATCTTCAAAGAGTAAAAGCCATTTAGTGTAAATGCAAGCAGACCAAGACGCGTAGAAACTGATTGATAAGGACCGTTACTCCGTATGCCTCGCCGAACGCTCCTTATACTCAGGCCTGTATAGAAACTCAGTAATAAACATTCAGTGGCGTGGGTTATTCGGCGTACATGAAACACGATCTTGTATAACTGTGTCCTGCGGAGTTAGCCAATATGACTTTCTATGATCGTTAACGCTATAGAAAACTATAAAATGAATGGCATTTACATATAGGAATTTATTTCAGTCATTTTTATAGCTTCCATAGCGTTAACGATCGTAAAATGTGATCTTGGCTAACCCGCTGAGTGGCGACTGTTCAAAATTTATGCCGAACGCACCGCTGTACTTCACTCCCCATTACACGCTCTCCACTATTAATGTATTAAAGAGACAATGCCTAGTTTAAACTGAAGCTTCACATCGAAAAATTTTGTGTAACATACATACATGGTAGAGCTATACTCATACGTGGTAGAGCCATGCTACAGCTATATCAATTGCAGCACGAATGGGTCGGCTCGACCGGGGAAGGACCACGCTCTCACAGATTACTAACGTAAAATAGCAGCTCAATGCTGCTGTGTTTCGTATGGTGAGCGCAGAGAACCGGAGACCCTTTTTACTGGAAAAGAGGCATTCCACCTTAGTCCGCACGGCTGAGAACGCAACTGCATTTTATTCGCAAACGAGGATAGATGTAGATGTCTATGGGCCACGGCAACCACTTACCATCAGGTGTGTTTGAGTTTAAACTCGAAATTGTTTCTGTATACCAGCCTAAGGACGGTATGCTGACCAATGTTTACGCCGAATACGCTTTTCGCTGGTTTTCTTAGGTATTTGAAATACATTATTATTCATCATATTTAGCTTACATTTTGGTTATACTAAGCAGTACAAAGCTAATCTTTGAATTACTCCATCGTCGGCAAGAATTAGTCGCGTTGTATGGAGGAATTGTTGTAATTGGCACAATTGGCAGGCAGATTGGTGATCTCAATAGACGTCAAACGTCTGAGACGCTGCTCCCCGTCGTCGGTCTGGGTTATTTAATAAATCTGACATATTATGCCATATGGTAATGCTACCAACTATCATTGCCTACGATAGCTGGTGGCATTTCTTTCAACTATTTTTCATAGTCGCCTCCTAAGTAACCCACAGGACATAAATGGGTTATGGTTTGTGTAAAATAAATATTATTAGCGTTAATTGATAATAAGTAATATCGACAGAGTTTTTATGTACGTACGTAATGTTTAATACTCGTAAAGGGTTTTTCAATAGGCGCGGGTAGATTTTGGCAGCCCGACGCAGTCGATTCCTCGCCGTGCGCAAGAATTCGGCCTTTCGCAGACTCAAACTTGGGAGAATTTTTCGTCGAGACTTAGGCCTACACCTGTACAATTCAATTGACCCAGGAGCTCAAAGTTCATGACCGTAGACATTAGAAGACATTTGTTCGCTGACTGGACCTCTAATCGTTTTAAAGAGGACGCCAATTTCGGCCGTTTGGTTTATTTTTTGGGTGAATGGCTGTGTTAACAAACAATACTGCCATATATAGGACGACAACAATCCACGCCAGGTTCACTAGGTGATAATGCATCCTCAAAAAGTAACCGTTTAGTGTGGTTGTCATTTGTCCGTATTTTTCCGAAAACAACGCTGGTGAGGCGTCAACGGCGAGCACTACAGAACGAAGATAACTAATTTCTTATAGCCCAAATTGAACCATATGGACCTAGACAACATGAGGATCCAGCAGGACGGCGCTACGTGCCACGATAGATTTGAGGGTAAGCTTATTTCTTGCAGGGGTGACGTGAAGTGGCCACCAAGGTCATGCGATTTGACCCTACTGGACCTTTTCTTTTGGGGTTTCTTGAAGTCGTAGGTCTATGCAAACAAACCACATCTACCGATGCCCTAAAGGTGAACATAACACAGGCCATCGTTCAAATTCAGCCGGATTTATGCAGAAGAGTCATTGAAAATCGGACCTCTCGGATCCGTGCCACTGTAAGAAGCGGACATTTGTACGATGTCATATTCCACACTTAATGGCACATGTGGGCCTTTCAAATAAATAAAGAATTTTGTTAATACCTCACACACAGCCTGTTTTATTTCATTTCAACAATTACCTGCCTTATTAAAAAAAAAACCTTTTATTCTACGACTAAGTTGGTATAGGTAGTAAAGATCTACTCTATTCATTATACAACTTCGTAG